TCTAGACCCGAAACGTCAGCCTTCCTGCTCCTCTGATGCTGCTTGGCCTGCTGTGTTCATCCAGCTCTACACCTTTGTTATCTCTGGTGTTTTCAGTACAAGGTTGCAAATGCAGAACAACTTACCATCGACAAAATCAAATTACTTTGATTACATTGCCTCTCATGGCAGGTTGTTTAATAGTTTTCATTGGGTAACTAAAGGTTAAGATTGATAACCAAATGTTGATTTTTATTTTAATTAGCCATTGTTTGAACAATTATGTTGCACAATAGGTTCCTTTTGTTATTGTACTTTATGATACAACCCAACAGTTGACCCATCTTTGAGAAGTTAAACATGATATTTATATTCTAAACCAAATGAAAGTGTTGCTGTTAGGCCTATTTTACCATAAAGGCAGAAACATAAAGAAATTTGCTGGGAATATAGCACTCAGCACTCAGTGAGTCTAAAAAAAAATTTGCATTTATACTGTGCCATCCACGACTAGCAGAAATGCCAAAAGTGATTTGCAGCCAATAAGTTGGCTCATACATGTTGTCAGTTGGCAAACAGCAACGTCCAAAACTATGTTGTGATAATGCCACGTGACCTGTTCTTTTTATATTGATTGATGAATAAATATCAACCAGGACATTAAGGATTTCCTGCCTGCCTTTCTGAGCAATGCCATGGGAGCTTTTAAATTTGCTCATGGGCAGACACGTGAAAGACAGTGCTTCGAACAGTGCAGCATTCCCTCTGTGTTGCACTATTGTATGGGCCTATATTTGTTTAGTGCTGAAATCCTGGACTGGGACCTGAACCCTCAATTTTCTGACTAAGAGGCAAGGGTCCTATTGATTGAACCACAGCTGAGACACAAAATAATATTCCGGGTGGAATATTCACCTTTCTCCAGTTTTTCCTTTCTCTTCTATCTTAGTGTCAGAACACTAGACTAAGCATAATTTAAAACAAAAATCATAGAACTACTGATTTGGGAAATCTGAAATGAAAACAGAAGAAAATGCTGGAAGCACTCAGCAAAGCATATAGTGTCAGTGGAGAGGAAGGCATTAAACCTTGCCTCCTCCTTTCTTTGCTCCGATGATACCTGTGGTGTTGAGGGCTGACCAGTGTTTTACTTTTATTTACTTCCACTTTTTAAACTTGTAATGTTACTTGTTTTCTTCTTTTCCCAGCTTTGTAATGTCAGAATATTCCAGTATGACAGATATGGAACGTGACCAGATTGATCAGGATGCCCAGATTTTCATGCGCGCATGCTCTGATGCCATTCATCAGCTGAGGGCAGAAGGTAAAGACAAAAAAAAGTGAATTTGAAATTTTTGCAAAGCCTTTTTTAAAAGTATTAATCAAGCAGCTTAACTCTTGTGAATGTGCAACTGCAATTGAGACTTTGTTTTCAGAAACATTAAAAAGCAGTGTAAATGGCTGGCTTATTATAGATTATTAGTTTTATTGGATGCCTGTAAAATACTTTTAGGAGGATGTACGAAGTGGATGAAAGAACGTTTCCCTTGTATACTGAGCTATATGAGGTAGAATGTATGGCAGGACAGAGTGTTGAAAGTTGTGAAAGAAATATCTTGAAGGAGAAACAGCATGTTTTCACATCAAACATATGTTCTAAAGTAATTCTTGGCTTCCATCTCTAAAGTGGCAGCAGAAGTTCAAGAACAAGTTCCCATTGTTACTTAATTGATAGTTTGGTATGGGAGAAGTTGGGTATGGGTTCGGGGGGAAATGAGAATCAAAATTGAAAATAAGAAGAACAGAAGTATAACGGATAAACAGAATTTATGTGAATAAATTCAACTTAGTGTTTCTATGATTTTTCTAGTTTTTGGCCTCCATACTTGCACACCACTGCCATATAGTTAGGTGCAGAGTAAAATCTATCATAATGGCCAGCATTAGACTTTCCCCAGCATCAAGTAAGTATCACCTGGCCCTTTTCTATTTGTCACAATAGCTGTATTTCAATTGAGTTAGCCACCATGCTGGAAATAGAATAGCCTTTATTGTCTCGTGCCATTCAAATGCCTTTTGTGAGTTTTATTCAGGCTCAGAATCCATTCTCAGTCTGAAGGACTTGCATTGTCAATCTACTCTGGACTCAGGTTGACATCTGTTATCATTGAGATTGACTGCACCGAAATAGAGAACAATGCCACAGCCAAGATTTAGTGCTCCATCTTCAGGAGCAGCTGACTTTCTGCCCCCACCAATGTTTGCCACATCAAACTCAACCCAGTTACTTGAGAGCTGACTGGCTGTTGCATGATTACTTAAGGGCCTTAATTGTTGATGAGAAGGTCGCTATTGAATCTTCTCACTCAGCGTTTAATTGCTGAGGAAGTGAGTATCTTTCCAGAGTGACTTGCCCAATATTTTGCTGTTCTCACTACCTTCCTCACCACTTCCAGGGAGAAGTAATCACACCTTGTTAATAGTATCACTTCATTAGTGTTGAGATCACTTTTGTCAAATTCACTGTCCTTTCCAACAATATCCATTGAACCTTAGACTTACTTGGTCCTCCTCAACCTCTCCCCAGCCACCCATCCATTCAGAACATTTTTTTTTCTCCCTTATCTGTAAAGTAAATTGGTTTTGTTGTTATAGATGATCATGTAAGCTTATGAGTTGAAATAATTTATTAAGGGATATTGTGTAAGACTTCTATCAGAACCTTCATGCATGAAATGTATGATTTAGGAGTTCCTAAGGCTTCCAATTAACTGTCTCTTCAACTAATTGTTAGGTTTTGCAATTAGGTAATTTGTCCATGAGGTTATTGTTTACTTAATATGACGGAAAATTGTGAAGTGTATTTGCATTAAAGGCTTGTTGCTTCCATTCCAGCCATGAAGAATGTGATTTCTCCCCAAGTGAAGGAACACCGGGAAGGTGTATTGGATTTGCTTGAAGTTTACCTGAAAAGTAATTTTAATTTGTTTTAATCAGGGATGTGGGAAATGCTTCATGGTTTTAAGAAACATTGGTTTTAAAATTGGTTATCTAATATATTACTATGTTAAGCTGCTTGCATAGGAGGTGATTGTACATTTCACGTCGTCAGCTTTATTTTTACAGTGAATCCGAGAATGCATGGACACAGGTTAGCCAGCAACAGAGCGTGGCTTGAGAGCAACACTTGAGTATGGAACACAAGCTAATGCAAGCCTTAATAGACTGGCAAAGTTGTAGTCAAACTGTGCAGAAAAGATAGTCATAAAAGGCTAAATAGAAAGAGTTTTTGTTTTTTAACTTGGATCTTTTCTTTCATGCCCAACATCAAAGGCCAATCCTATAAAGAAAGTTCTTTCTTCTTACTAGCTGGAGTCTAACTTTACACATGCAATATCTATTGATGTAGCAAACCCATGGGAGCAAATTCAAATCCACATCATTATCTTTGGGATATTGGATATATCTTGAGCCGGCTTGCGATTTCCTGGACTTTCAGAAATGTTACAGTAAGCAGCTTGTCAGATGTGGCATAACTTTTAAAGTACAAAAACAAATTTATTAAAAAAATAGACAAGCAAAGGCAAATAGCAATTTTACCATTATGCATAGAACACACCAATATAAAAATAACTGATACTCATAAATAAACTGGGCCTGAAAGACTTTTGACAAAAGCTTTATATGAATTTGGATTCTTACTTTCACAGTGCCTCCTACATGTTTCTCAGTCCTGGTATCATAAGGGAGTACTCCTAAAGATCAAACCCCAATACCTTTTGAAGGTAATCCTGACAAAGCATTTCAATAGATGTAATCCTAGTAATTGCATCGTCTCTGACTTTTCAGGAGAAAATTGCCTGTGTCTGTCTGTTTGGAAAGACTGAATGCGTCCCTTTGAATAGAAACCTTATGAAACAATAAGAAATGAAAGCCCATTGTGGAAATCCTAAAATGAAAGATCAGAGCAGAATGTTTGCCAAAGTACTTTCAGCTCCATTGAAATCTTGACAAATTGGCAGTCTCCTGTGTCTTTTTGCACACCTTCAGAATTTCACCATATTGAGCATGGTCCTAAGCACCATTTGCTACCTTTTCAAAACCCCTTTGAATGCATCACTACCCATATTCTTCTTTCTCCACAAATCTTCTCTGCCAGCACATGATCTGTGGTACAGTAATGCCTCAGGATTGATTAAAGAGCAACCAAACTTACAAACCAATGCCATGGTTGTTGAAATGATTTTAAAATATTAAATACAATTTTTAATCCCTTATATCAACAGTTTCCATACAATGGATGTCATGCAGTTGTATTGCCAGATTTAGTGTAGTACATTGAATGAATGTAATTGTAGTAATGAATCGAACTTCAAGTCTTTGACCTAAAAGATGCGGTTTACCCAGATGGAATGAGGCTTCAGACTCCCTTAGTCATATGAATAGCTTTTACGAATATGCACCTGTTGATCGGCCTAGCTTAACCATTCGGAATGTACAGTAATGATTTTACTTTCTCTTCACGAAGGATTGTTGAGCTGTAATCAACAGTTATAAATTGCATTTAAATATAATTGACCCAAGGTAGGATAAGCAAACACTTCTGTTTGAATACAGACCATAATACTTCCCAAACTCAAAGCCTATATAAATATTTACCATCTCCACCACCCCACCACTGCGCACCCCCCCCACCCCCAGCCCCCCCAACCTCCCCTTGCATAACTAAGTGTTGAATTGAATAGACAGAAGAGCCAACTAATAAAATAGTTGGGAAAGATCAAACTTTTCATTACAAATACGAACCCTAATTTCCTGAGTTTATTTAAAATCCTGTCACTCTGCACTTGTCCTGCAAAGTAGTGAATTTTTATTTTGATTGTAGGAATTATGGGGGAAGATCAGACACCTCCGGCGAGGAGTGCACGTGAAGACCAGCAGTCCTGGGTTATTCTTACATACACTATGATCTGGTGGCTGACAGCAGAGAAGTGATGATGGAGATCTGTCTGGCTCATCTGCTAAAACTAAGTTGCATTGAATTGGGAAAGTTTTTAGATCCAGAAAAGAAAATTAAATCATGCTCCCTAATCTTAAAGTTCTGTTCTTGTTTGCATTGATGAGCATAATAACACAAGAAATAGGTGGAGTAGACAATATGGCCTGTTGAGTCTGCCCTGCAATCCACTACAATCAAGGCTGATTTTGAGCTTCAACTCCATTTTTCCTGCCTACTTCCCATATCTCCTGATTACCTGAGAGGCCAAAAATCTGTCTACCCTAGCTTTAAAGATGTACAACATTAAAGACTCAACCTTCTGGGGGAGAAAATTCCAACAATTCACATCCTTTCAAGCTAGGTGGAAAAGTAAGCTGTGTGGAAGGCAAAAGAGGCTGCAAAAAGATACAGATTGGTTAAGTGAGTATATAACAAGATGGCAGGTGGATAACATAGGAAAGTGTGAAGTTATTCACTTTGGTCACAGGAATAGAAAAGCAGAATTTTTTTAAGAATGTGCAAAGCTTGTAAGTTCTGATGAACAAAGAGATCTGAGTGTGCTTGTGCTTGTGCTTATGATACATACAAAGTTAATAGGCAGGTATAACAAGTAACTCAGAAGACAGATGGCATCCTTGCCTTACTGCAAGACAACTGATCTACAGGAATGAAGAAGTCTTCTTAACAACCGTCCAGGTTTTTGGTGAGACCTATTCTGAAGCAGTGAGTGCAGTTTTGGTCTCCACATTTAAGATGTACCTATATTCGAGGCAGTATAGTTACTGTTCACATAATTAAAATTTAAGATGATGAGTTGTACTATGAGCAGATGCTGAGCAAATTTAGAAACTTAGAAAAATGAAAAGTTAAAGAAGAAATTTCTCCACACCTCAGTCCAAAATGATCGGCCCCTATTCGGAGACTGTGCCCCCATGTTTGAGATTCCCTGACCAGTTGAAGTAATCTCTTAGCATCCATCCTGTCAAGCCCTTCAGAATCTCGTAAATTTCAATGAGATCACCTTTCATTTTTATACGTTTCTAAATTTGCTCAGCATCTGATCATTGTACAACTCATCATCTTAAGATTTTAATTAAGAGAACCTTAACTGTACTGCCTCAAATATAAATATATCTTAAATGTGGAGACCAGAACGGCACTCACTGCTTCAGATGAGGTCTCACCAACACCCCGTACGGTTGTAAGAAGATTTCTTTATTCCTGTAGATCAGTCATCTTGTAGTAAGGCTAGCATACCATTTATCTTCTGAGTTACTTGCTATTACTGCCTACTAACTTTCTGTGTATCATAAGCACAAGCACACTCAGATTTCTTTGTTTATCAGAACTTACAAGTTTCACACCTTCTTTAAAAAAATTCTGCTTTTCTATTCTTGTGACCAAAGTGAATAACTTCACACTTTCCTATATTATCCATCTGCCATCTTGTTATATACTCACTTAACCAATCTGTATCTTTTTGCAGCCTCTTTTGTCCTCCACACAGCTTCCCTTTCCACCTAGCATTATGTCATCAGCAAATGTAGATACATTACTCTCTGTCTCTTCGTCTAAGTCATTAATGTAGAATGTAAAAAACGGACTGCCCAGCACTGACTTTTGTGTTGCTCCTGTATTCACTGCCTACAAACTTGAAAATGCCCTATTCGTGCCCATTCATGCTTCTTGTCCGTTAACCAGTCCTGTGTCCATGCTAATGTATTAACTCCAGTCATGAGCCTTCATGTCTTTGATTAAGCTTCTGTGTGCCAACTTGTTGAATGTTTTTTAGAAATCCTTGGCATACAGTATCTATAGCTTCACTTTATCTATCTTACAAGGTACATCCTCAAAAAAAAACTCCAATAAATTTTTGTCCATCACAGTTTCCTTGAATAAAATTGTGTTGGTTTATTCTAATCATACAATACTTTTTCTAAATGCAATATGAAGACTTCCTTAATAATAGATTTTAGCACTTTCCCAGCAAACAATGTTAGGCTAACTGGTGTGTTGTTCCCTGTTTTCCTTCTACCTCATTTAACTAACAGTTGCTGACTTCCAATCTGATGGGATTATTCCCAAATCTAAGGAATTTTAGAAAATCATAGTTTTGTCCACTATCTCTGCAACTATTTTTTTTAGATTGCCTAAAAAGCTGTAGGCTGTTCAACAGTGTGCAATTTGAATCCATCATTAAGACTAAAATGCTTAGTTGTTGGATGTTGTAAATTGACCCCCAAAAATTTGCTGTTTAATTTCCTGTATGTTCAGATTTAATATATTTTCATTTTTGTAATCCGGCAGATGTGTGTAAAGTGTACTCTGAACAAAGGGCTATTCGAGTCAAGCGAGTGGTGGATAAGAAAAGATTGTAAGTAAAATCATAATGCTCAGTTTGATTGTAAGAGGGCAGTCTGCAAATTGGAAAGCTATATATTGACTGAAATTGACCCCAGTTAGGGTACCGTAACGTTACATTGTCTCTGTTCTACCATTACTGTTGGTTTTCCTTAAATCAGTCAGACACGTAATGCAATAAAAGTCCTGCTTTGCAAAAGCTCAGTATTTGAATTCAGTTTTTAATTCTTATGTCATTTCATTGCCTGAACGTTGAATAGAGATTACACTAAATGTTACTCATTATGGAGTAAGGGAGGGGACATCTGGGGCCAAGTCACTGAACTATTCCTTGTATTTTTGACCAGCAAGACAGCATCTGTAGAGGACTTTCATTCAGGTTGTACAGCTTCAGCTGAGGTTGTCTAGCTCATAATAGCGATTATACAAATTTTAAACCCTATGAAAAATGGCTGAGTTTATGTAAGGTGAGATGAGGAAATTGTTTGGATCTAACACTAACCCCCAAGCTGCATCCAAACCAGCACATGTACAGTTGAAAACCCAGCAGAATTAGGATAGTTGATTGGAGGTGTGCGGGCCACGTATCCACTACCAGGAAGGGCTTTGTTATTTAAATATTATAATCAGGCAGCAGGCTCTTTAAATGCCTGGATGAACAAAGGCTGGAAGGAAGGGATGAATATAACTGGGCATTCATCAGAGGCACACCTCCTCCAAAGATGTCCCACGCTTCCTTCCACACCACCTGTGCAAAAGAACCTTTCCCCCACTGTGCTCTCCCTGCTCCTTGGGCTTCGCCGTCCATCCCTGCTCTAAAGCTTAGGGATGTACCTCTTTGCTATGATCTTCCTTGAGCCTCTTTCTTCAGTCCTAGCTGTGCCTCTGGCACTAGAATGGCCAACATCTGTCCCTATGTTCACTTATTAGCTTCCGAGGACAGGACTTCCTTCCAGGTGAATGATGGAAGTCCAATAATTAGGCAATGTTGATCATTTGCAGCACATCTTCTAGCCAACGTTCCTTCTGGGAATGGAAGAGGGAGGTGGAAAGTCATCTTCCCCATCCCTGTGTAAATTTCGGCCCAATGTTTATGAAATTTTGGAGCAGTTATTGTGGTCAAGATCTAGTTTTAACTAAATATTTAACTCCACCTGCAACATTGATATAATAAACTTAAACCAGGATAATCAGACAAGCAAGAATATTGTGTAGCATTTTTAAGGGACTTGACAGGATAAATAATGAAAGGATGTTTCTCCTCATGGGAGAATCTAGGAGATAGTCTCATAATAAAGGCCTGCCAATTTAAGATGGAGATGAGGAGGAATTTCATCTCTCAGAATGTTGTGATATTTGGAACTCCTTGCCACAGAGACCTGTGGAGGTGGAGTCCTTGTGCATATTTAAGGCTGAGTTAGGTAGATTCTTGATCAGTGGGAGAATTGTGGGTTATGGGAAAACGCAAGAAGTTGGACGTAAGGAATGTTGGATCAGCGATGATCCCATTAAATGGCGGAGCAGGCTCAAGGGGCAAACGGCCCACTCCTGTTCCTATTTCTCACAGTCTTATAAGAAGTGCAGAGAATAAATATTTTGTGTAATCTAGGAAACCATTGAAAATAATAGCTGAAAAAGATGTCATAAAGTCATTGAAGCAGGAATTTTATTTGCAAATGGCTAAAAAGTGTAATATGGAAATGGAATGTGAACAGAAGAATCAAATTACATGAAATAATAAATCGTAAGTACAAAGATTTGTAACTGCACAGATGGCTCACTTGCTCCAGTAGTTTGTAGTAGACCCACAGAGATCATTAATAATTGTCTTACGGTATCTTGTTTTATAACATAAGAAATGAGGATAAGCTCTGAGGCACAGGAATATTGAAGGTGGCATAGTTGATAAAATTTGTCTAATTGTGAAAACATTAATATTATTTTACCTCTGACCCTCAGAAGCCATTTTAACTTCAAGTTATGACCTTGGGAATCAGGAAACATAGGATTGAGTAAATCTAATCTGTTGTTGTACACTGTTCTGACAGATTTATTTTTCGTAGGTCAAGACTTGAACCTGAACAGCATAGCAACAAGACATTAATATCATCTCCAGAGAATATTCCTCCTGTCAGGCCGGAAAATTCAGAGGAGCTGGTCTTAAAAGATGAAAGCAATGGTTTGTAACAGTAAATGTTGCGAATTGCACACTCTAGGTTGTGATTAAACGAAAGCTGAGGTCTTGCCATTTTCCTATTCAGTGATGCAATATATTGATTGTTATTAATAGAAAATGGACACAACACAATATTAGAAGCTCCAAGTATCAGAGGACTGAATTTACAATTACAAGGTATCTAAAACAAAGAGAATCATTAATTTTATCTTACTGATTTACATAGTTCATTTAGCATTTAAAGGTTTGTATTATACAATGCAGTACTAAGTAAGGGATTAGAAAGAAGAAAGTCACCATCTATACAAAGTATAGAGTTTAGTTTTAAATCCACACAGATAACATTCATTTGCTACTTTACTCTCATTTACACAATTAATTTGAGAATAATCTGAGTAGACAGACGTATCATTAAATTATAGGAATCGGTGTGAGTAATTTAAATTGGGGCTTACTTAAAACTAAACAGGAGATCATATGGATGAGTGCAACTCATTTGAATGAGACAAATTTTCCTTGGTTAAGTAAATATTCTTGATCTCTTTGAAGTTAGCCAGATAACTTTGGAGGCACATAAATTTATGTTAGCTAATCTAAGTCAGTACTAGCAAAATAAACATTCAATTGCGTTGCTTGATGGGCAACATTTTGTCATCTTTGTGGAATTTCATTGTGAGTATATTGATAATTCACAGAGAAAAATAAAGCCTCTCATACCTATTTATCCAACTAAATTTGTTTTAATCTTTAATGGGATGAGGACATCAGTGTTTGTTACTCGTCTCTAATTGCCTCGAGCTCTGTAGCATGCTCAGCCATTTCAAAAGGTAATTAAGATCTAACCTTATTGCTGTGGATCTGCAATCTGTAGATTTTTACAACAATTGTTGTCGGTTAATAGTCACCATCATTGAGACTAATTTTATATTCCAGCTTTATTAATTGACTTCAAACTCCAGATGACTTGGTGGAATTGAACCTACTTCCCAAGAGCATTTGCCTGGGCCCCTGAATTATTAGTCCCCAGCAACCTTACTTCCTGAGACTGATGTAGTGTTCTGGAATGCAGACCTATCTAGCATGACTTCAGTCATGAAATGCCGTTATAACCAAGTTAGGACAAGTGTACTGATTCTGTTCTTTGTTCCACTCCTCCACTGGTCACAACAAATTTTGAATTTAAAAGGGAAATGATGCATTTGCATATATCTCAGACTGTATGTGGTTCAGAATCAGAAATAAATCAGTTACGTTGTTTAAGTAACAAATGAGGTCATGTAACCTCTCACAGTGTATTATTGACTCATTGATTTTATTTGATCAGCTCATGTTCTTTGCAAATGCAACAATTTTCCTTACTTCCTTTGCTTTGTGATGAGACTTTCCAAGATATGGGTATATGTCCAGTTAATTATATTCTAAATTAAAATAGCAGATAACATATCTTCATAACCATAAAGTTCTAGATGACTGATTCAGATGTGTTTGCTGTTAATAGCAATGGCACAGAGTTCACAGATTATTTTTTTCCACCAATTCCATGATCATTGGTGAAAGCAGTTGCTAATTTCAGTTGGATCAGAAAACAGAATATTTCATTCTCTTCAAGTAATACTTTATCCCATCTCCATTGAAGTCAGTTAAACAGGTCTTGGAATGGACTAGTTCAAGTTGTCAGGTTGGTAAGCAAAACATAGTCAGTAGGCCAACATAACCAGATTGTTTCAATTTTAAAGAAGTAAAGACTTACCACTGAGTAGATTGAAAGTGGAAAGCAAGATGCATCAGAAAGTGATTAGATCATGCTAACCTTTGGTTTTCAATGGATAAATCTAATACAAGGAAAGAAGATAAGTTTCACAGATTTAAAGGAATCAGCAGCTAATTAATGAAACTTTATTTCAGCACTGTGACGTATAAAGTAGGGCATTTGAAACTTTAAAACAAAACAAAGAAGTTTTAAAGGAATCTAGGCCATAGTGGACTTGGTAAAATTGAGAGTTTGGAAGCTAGACGTGAGGAAAGATTCATCTGTCATTTGAAGAGCTTTGAGAATTAAGTTTTTGAGAGGTTAGGGAGTTGGTGAGTAAATAGAAGTAAGTGTTTACCATATAAAAGCAAACTAGCTTCTCGAATGTAACTTTGGCAAAGGAGATCTGAAAGTTCTGTTTGTAGTCAGAGGAGTTTAATTAGGTCTAAATGTGAGTAAGAAAAGGTGGAATAAGACAGGTTGAAGAAACAGCATTCTAAACACTAAGATCTTAGTGATTAGAAGACCAACTGAGTCTGTTCTCTAGTCTAGAGACCAGACAATGTCACAATTTTAGTGGAGATAAAGAGGCTTGTTTGGCTATAATGTTAGAATAAATGGAGCAATAGATGGATCAATCTTTCTTTATAAATCTGCTCAAATTTCATAGGTTTCTTGCTTTCATTTAACTGAAAATAGCTGCACTATAAATTACAGTTGAGATTTTAAACACTGTTTCCTTTTTAATACCATTTGTCTTGATGTCTGCTTGTCTAATATCCTGCAATGGATGACCCACAATTTACGAAAGGTAACATTGTTACTAAATTACTAAACTAGTAATCCAGAGGCATGGACTAATGATCCACAAATACAAGTTTAAATCTCCCCGTAAAAGCTGGGGAATGTACATTCAACTAAGAAATAAATCTGAACAAAAAACTTGTATCAGTAATGATGACCATGACGCTACATGGATTGCCATAAAAATTTCATTCAGTTTACTAATGCTCTTACCCAGTCTGGCCAACATGTGATTCTGCAAGGTAATGCAGTAAATGTATACGTGGAATTTCAGAGGGCATTTCACAATGCACCACGCAGGATGCTTATTAAGAAGAACAAATTATAGAGAAAGCCCTGGTAGAGGTACTGTTACAATCTTATTAGGGACTGTTAATTTCTAAAGAAAGATTTCAAACACGCATAATAAACTTCAGAAGTGCACCACACAATTTCCCATTTTTTAACATAAACATTATTACATATTTAAGGTAAATTAAGCACCACTGATTTAACACTCTCCCTTATAAACACTTTGTAATATAAACTCACTTGTACTTTTTACTTCCCACAACCCAAAAAATACATCAAAGTCCTCCCAAAATTTACTTTAATTCTCTTTAGTACTCCTACTTGAAATAAATTACATGGGAATCCTTCCAGTAGCTGGTGACTAAGCACTCTTCTGGGTTTTTTAAGTACCTCATGATTGTGGATTCCTTATTCTGTCGGGCTGTACATTGAAAACAAGCGTCTCCCTCTGTTCATTAAATCAGAGTGGTGGCATGTGAGTCCCTTAGGTTGGCATTAATTGCCCAATTAAGGGCATCAATTGGTGAATCGATGAATGGCCCTCGTAACACCTCCCCTGCCGTTTCTAAAATCTTGACAGGACAGGCAGCAGGTATGCTGTGGATAACAAGGCACCTAATTTTGTAGCAGCAAACACAGAGAATGCCAGAGAAACTCTGTTCTAACGAAGAGTCATATCAGACTCAAAATGTTAACACTGTTTCTCTCTCCACAGATACTGCCAGACCTGCTGAATTTCTCCAGAATTCTGAGATTGTTTCAGATTTCCAGCATTTGTAGCATTTTACCATTAACCCAATTTTGAAGGTCTGCCTGCTCAATTCCCTATCCATGAGTGGCCCATAAAATTGCTAGCATTTCTAATTTTATTAATTGTTAATAATTGGAGTGCACTTAGCAGTTGCTTGAATATTTATGAAGCACCTGTTAGAGAGACTTATTAAGTAGAATGCCTTTTGCATAGTTAACATAGAATTATGTAGAACGTATAGCACAGGACATTCAGGCAAGAGGTCAATAATGATATTTATGCTCCAAATAAGCTTCCTTCCAGCTTGGTTCATCTCAACCTGAAACCATATCCTTCTGTTTATTTTCCCCTTCTGTATTTATTCAAGTTCTACTTTAATTCTTTTGAGGACATCTGTGAAAGTTTGTATATCAATATCAAAATTATCTTTCACAGATAAAAGTTATCCAGAAGTACATGAAAATTTGGGTGTCTGGGAGGATTCAAAGGAAGATGAACTTTCACCAGAAGAAATTCAAATGGTAAGTTTCATCCTTTAGTGCAATTAATTGCTGTTATATTAACTTGCTCACCAGATATTATTTCAGTTACAGTCTGTGAACTCAGGAAGATGCCAGATGGTTTCTTTCTCAGCAGCAAATATTAATTCATTTCATGGTAACTTCTGTATTTTAATGAATCTAATAATGAAGAGTTTTGACACTGATTTACGATCCTCATTCTTCCAAGGAAGTTTAACCTTCACGAATTCTTTCAGCCTATCTGTCTCTTTGTTTTCTGAGCTATCGTGTTTTATTATTGTAGAACCAGAAAATCCTGGATGTACTCAGGAGATAAGGTAGGATTTGTGAAGAGAGAAACAGATTCAGCTCTAACCCTTCTATTGCTTCTGATGAAAGGTAACTTTAACTCTTTCTTTCTTCACAAATGCTATCAGACTTGCTGTATGACCCAGCTTTTTCAGTTTTCGTTCCCACTTTTCAACATCTACAGTATTCGCAAGTATATCAGGGGATCTCCTCTGCTGTCTTTTAAATAGTGCCTTGAGGTTATCAGGGACAGAAGAAGGTACCTGAATTTCATGTCTCATCTGGAGAGCAGCAACTTTGGCACTGCAACTCTTCTTTAGTGTTGCCTGAAGTATCAATTTGATTATGTGCAATAGTACTCAAGTCTCCAGACTGGGACTTAATCCACCACTTACTGATCCTGAGGCAAAAGTGCCATTTCCAAGCAAGGTCAAGGCTGATGTTAATACTTAAATGCTCATGTATAAAAGCACCCCATGATTGACAGTCCATCAAACCCTATCAGCATTCATTCTCCGTACTGCCAACACTTCGTTGATTTGGAAATATATCACTGTTGCTGGGTCAAAATCCTGGAATTCCCTTCCTTATGGCACTATGGGTGTACTTACTGCCATGGACTTCGGCAGTTCAAGAAGGCAGCTCACCACCAACTTCTCAAGGGCAATTAGGAATGGGCAATAAATGTTAACAATATCCACAAAATAAAACTGGAAATTTGTGTCACCACATCAGGCCATAACTGAGGGAATAATTTTGTGTTCTGGTCAGGCCTAACTTACCCAGCTCCCTTGCTAATAAATCACATTTCCAGTATCCAAGGATTCCTTATCAGCTGTTGATTCAATCTGTTCCTCCAGAACTGTGATATTCAAAATGGCCATTTTCTCTCATCTTGTGACTTTAAGCTGCCACTGCCAATTTTAAAATCTGGAGGGGGTTTTGCATGTTAGATACAGGACAAGGATTATCAAATTCAGCACTGAGTGCTGGCATTGAAAGGAAGAGGCATTGTTGAAATTTAAATGTCACAATGTCAGAAACACGTAATAAAAACCTGAAGAAAATAGCATAATGTGGAAAAAGAGACATGCTGTTGCAACTTTACATTTTGTATTTATCAGGACAGATAATGCAAGATGAAAAGCTTCAATAGCTTTAGAAATACTGAAGTTCTGTACTTATTAATGCCTATACATATACTTGAGACAGATAAAACAAAATAACACATGAATAACTGCCAACGTGGAGAGTATTTTGAGGAATAAAATCTTTCTGATGTTATTCTCGTAGAAGGGTAAGTTTTTTTTGGGTTTTCTTGTTTGGATTGGATGGGCAAGCAGTATGGGCCATCTTGTCTTCAACTTGCGTCATAGGCAGGTATAGTTGATAATTGTGCAACCATAATTGCTGCACGGACAATTGGCAAATATACTTAATAGACTGGGGTTTTTTTTTTCTAGAAGAGAGGAGGCTAAGGGTGACTTAATAAAAATATATAGCGTTATGAAGGGGTTTGATAGGGTAGACACAGAAAACATTTCCACTTGAGGAATTATAAGTTCAACATGGTTGCTAATAAATCCAAAAAAAAAACCTTCTTTACTTTATCCAGAGAGTGATTAGAATGTGAAACTTGCTATCATGTAGAGTGCAACTAGGTAAATATATACAGGAGACAGGAATAAAAGGCTATACTGATAGGGAAGTGATGAACTAGGTTGGAAGGAAGCTCAGGTATACATCAACACTGGCATAAATCAGATTGGCTGACTTCCATTCTATTAATTCTGTATATTCATTCTAGCAATTCCTGAAGAGTACAATTTAAAAGTACTATTGTGAAATAGTAACAGTTGTAATGTTTAATGACAGTTTAAATGATCCAAACTAATAGCTACCAATTTTGTCTTGATTGTATTTGGGTAGCTGTTGCAAATTAACCATATGCCTAATCTGTGCACTTATTCCAAAATGAAGACATTTAACTCTTAACGTTATTGAGATGATATTCACTCAAACACTTGCTGCACTAAATGCAGCTGAGGTTACCAATCATTTGGGATTGCCCTGAAGCTTCAAGGAGTTCCAAGCTACTGGCCCTGTCACAGGTGTAAGCAACCCAGAAGAAAATTAATGTTATTAATTTTGTTTTCTTTGAACATTTTCATTTATTAGTTCTAAATTTATTAGTAATTAAAGAAAAGAGCTGTTTGTCTCTCAATCAAGGATTTTCCAGCTGAACAACCAGAAGTCTGGACCTTGTTCAGGCTAGGACTGAAGTTACATTCACCTCGCACAAATACCAGGCAATAATAATATCTAACTAGGGAGAACCTAAGCATCTCCCATAGACATTCATAGAACCTCTACAGTGTGGAAGCAGCCCATTTGGCCCATCAGGTCCACACTGACCTTCCGAAGAGCATCCTCCCACAGCCCTACCCTATCCCTGCATTTCCCATGGCTAATCCATCTAACCTGCACATCCCTAGACACTATGGCCAATTTAGCATGGCCAATCCACTTAACTTGCACATCTTTAGATTGTGGGAGGAAGTTGGAGCATCTGAAGGAAACCCACCCAGATACAGGAGAATGTGCGAACTCCACGCAGAGAGTTGCCTGAGTATTGCAATCATTGAATTACCCACTATCAGCATCCTGGAGGTCATCATTCACCTGAAACTGAACTGAAACAGCCATATAAACACTGTTGCGACAAAAGCAGGTCAGAGACTGAGAATTTTGTAGTGATGAAATTTGTTTCCTGTCTCCTCAAAACCTGTTCACCATCTACAAGGCCCAAGCCAGGAATACTACCTACTAGCCTGAATGAGTGCAGCTGTAACAACACTCAAGGTTCATACCATCCAAGACATAGCAGCTTCCTCAATTTGTATTCCATGCACCAGCTTCAGCGTTCACTCCCTCCAACACTGATACACTGTGGTAGAAGTTTGTCACCATCCACACGATACACTGCATCAACTCACCAAGGCTTGTTTGGCAGCTCCTTTCAAGCCTGCAGCTTCCACCACCTAGAAGGATAGGTGCAGCACCACCTGCACGTTCCCCACTAAATCATACAGCATCCTGACTTGAAACTACATTTCCGTTCCTTCACTGTTGCTGGTGAAGAATCTTGACACTCCCTGGCTGATAGCCCAGTGTGTGCATTCAACAAAGACTGCAGCAGTTCAAGAAGGCAGCTCACCACCACCTTTTCATGGGTACGTAGGGAAAGGCAGTAAACACTACTCTAGCCAGTGACACTGTCACCCTGGAAACGAATAGATTAAAGAAGAACAGTGTACACGAGAACCACCCTGTGTGGCAACCAGTGGCAGAAGTGAGGGGATGGAGAGTGCATGGAAGTGAAAGATTATGCAACTGAACCTTCAGAAATGTGCTAAACAAGAGTTGTCTACACTAATTTCAACTGTTCAAATGGCCACATTTAGAAGTACTGAATAACACAAAGATTAGAAGCAGGGCTGTTGGACTTGCTGTGTTGTTCAGTAAGATCATGGCTGATCTAATTGTAGCTTCAACTCCCTTTTCCTGTCTGACTACCCTATCATTCTTGACTCCGTTATTGATAAAACTATGTCATGCAGCCTTGAAAATATTCAATGACCCATGATCCCTGGGAAAGAGAATTCTGCAGATTAATGTCCCTCTTAAAGAAAAAGTGTTCTCCTCATCTAAGTCATAAATGGGCGAGCCTTAATTTTTAAACTTTGACCCCAAGATCTAGACTTCCCCCATAAGGGGAAACATTCTCTCAACATCCGCCCTTCACGGTTTCCTCAGGTTGCTATATATTTCAATAAGATCAGCTCTCACTCTTCTAAAATACAATGATTATCGGCCCAACTGCATAACCTTTTCTCATGAGATAATGCTCTCAACCCAGGGAATAGTCAAGTGAAATCTCTTTGAACTGTTTGCAATATGATATCTTTTCTCAAGTAAGGAGACAAACTGTACGTAGTACTCCAGATGCAGTCTAAAGCCATTTACACCAAAGCAACACATCCCTACTTTTATACTCCATTTCCCTTGCAATAAATACCCAACATTCCATTTGCTTTCCTAATCACTTGCTAAACCTGCATATTAATGTATTTGTGATTCACCAGGACACCCAGATCCCAGATACGTTAGAGATCTACAGCCTGTCCCCATTCAAATCATATACTGCTTTATTCTTCCTGCCAAAGTTGACAAGAAAGAAGCAGATCGTTTACAAAATCATTTGTATATAATTTTGAAACTCATGCAAGCAGTCTATACCTTGGAGGCTGAGGCTGAATATTCCGTAGGAATGAGCTGAGATGATTATAAACAATGAAATAATGACTTCCAATTTGATTTGATTAACTTGTTTGCTTCTCTCTTATCCCCAAATTATAACTGACTTTTACTCAGCAGAGCTCCATTTTAACACCTTAAGTGAATTTGACCTTTAGGAAAATGCTGCATAAATTTTACTTTTCCTATCTCAGTTCTGAAGTCTGTTTTTGTTACAGTAACATCTCGGGGAATTTGCAGTGAGAGTTTTAGGCAACATTGAAAGGCAGCAGAACATAGTCCCATTCTATTGCAGCTGTCACCATTCCATATTATTGCTTTAAATGTATTTGGTTTCTTAGGCACTCACCCTACCAAGTGCATTTTTGCATCTCCACATAGAGTTTATCCTGCCATCTTCAATTACATGGGCAATTTATTCTATCTTATTTTCATTTCTAACATTTATTTAATGGAAAGTACTTTTGTGTTTTAGCAAGGATGCTGGTACAATTACAACATTTAAAAGGCGTCTGGATGGGTACATGAATAGGAAGGGTTTAGAGGGATATGGGTCAAATGCTGACAAATGGGACTAGATTACTTTAGGATGTCTGGTCAGCATCTGGGAGTTGGACTGAAAGGTCTGTTTCTATGCTATGCAGCTCTCTGACTCTAATAAGTAAACGGACTTAAAGTTATGAATTGTATTAACTACATTAATAGGAGGCGTAGTGTGCTGCTGAAAGATGGATAGCACATTTGTTACTTGTGAGTTCTTGAGCATGGTAGGAAAGTGTCCCATTCATTTCAATCACACAATTATATTTAGCTGTCAATCCCTTTGAACTTGGTGAGTTGTCCATTTCTGAACATGCCCTATGTCTGACAGTTTATTTTTCTTTAAGCATGCATAACTTTTATTCATAGGTAAATATAAATAAATTAGCTAATTGGAAGAAGAGGGAGATTAGTCATTATGAGGACTTTGGGATTCATACTGATTCTTTCAGTGCTTGTGCATCTCTGATCTCAATATCCTGATTCGTTGTACAAGCTGAAAGCATATTACACAAGATTGAAAGGTTGGTAAATGCAGATATCTATAGTGAGCATTGTCAACAAAAAAAAAATTTTTTTTCCATGCAAACTGTCTATGGTCGCAAATTGATCTGTTTGTCTTTTTTGAATTTGATAGGTGTGATAAGTGAACCTGAGATGGTGGACTTGTTCAGAATATTCATATGTTTTATATTTTGCATGATAATTGATACTGCACTTTATTCCTGGCAGTTTGAACAGGAAAACCAGCGCCTTGTCAGTGAGATGAACAGCCTGGTGGATGAAGTGAGGTAATTCTATCATAATGTAGTTCTCTTGACAGAAAAGCATAAAAAGGAAACAATTGAGACTTAATGCAGACTTTAATACAACTAATGCTTAAGTGAGCTGTTTGTGAAAATCATTGTAAGTTGACAGAGATGACAAGTCCTTTAATATTTGAAGGGACAAATGTTTACCTAGGTTATGAGTCGCATTCCCTCTGAGTCTGAATAGTTGTAAAAGCTAACACACAATCCTCCCTGTCAATTTTTTTATTGTTTTGGCAACATATTTATTGTGATTCACATTCTATGATAAAGTCACTATCTATATTAAAGTGCAGTCACTTTACATGTGGACCATCCAATTAGCATGCTGGCAAGTACAATATTTTCCCTAACATTTTTGCTCCTTTTGTGAAGACAACAGCTCATGAAAATTAATACAGTGAAGTGTGAGCTCCATAGCTTTGCTCAAACGGGGGCAGTGGTTTGAACCATTGGAAGAAATTTAAGGTAGAATGAACGAAGGGGATGGGAAACAGGCTGCAAAGGAAGAGCAAGCAGTGCTGCAAGAGCTGTCAGGCAGCAAGCCACTGATATGAGATTCTCATTAATATTCTGTCCCCTTGCAAACATATCCACAGCTCTACTATCTACCTAACCTAGTCATCACAACTGACTGCCCTCATTCAGCTTCATGGATGTTATCCTTCTAGAACTAAAAATAGGAAGTGCAAATGAAATTCAAGCGTATATGCTCACTGTATCAAGATAATCTATCACTTTTATTTGGACAGTTGCTTTTACTGAACACTAGTAAGGCAAGTTGCCTGTGTACAAAGTCCTAGTACCTGTGCTGAGAGCTCACTATGAGTAACATTCCCATTGGCTACATGAAGGGGGTGATCCTCCTGAGGACACCTGAGCTCTGACTGTACAAAGCTCAGCAGCAGACTGGATTACATCAACTACCCCAACAAGGACACTGGTTGAGAATGTTATGGGGGAGCAAGCACGCTGTCAGTTCTGATTGCAGACAGCATCTGTTGCAATTCAGCACTCCTGCTGTGCTGCATGATGCAAGTGGCTAGGAGTAATCAAACATGCTGAAATACCCTATCAACGTTGTTCTTTGTAAGAATATGTTGGAGCCCAGGCCCAGTCTAAGCTTCTGTTGAAGTTTTCAGAGCTTCTATCAGTGGCTGCACAATGTGGGTCTGAATACAGTGTTCATGGCACTGACAAGTCACTCCATGGTTGACTGCGCCATCTGGATATTGTGCACGAAGACCCTACATAAATTGGACATGGACTTACTGGCAGGCTGCCTGATTTACATTGACATTTATGGTTTATAGCCAAACGTTCTGCAGATACAAACATCTTACATCCCCTCCTTTTACATCAGGATGTGAGGTTACCCTCCAGTGTTATCTTGGGTGTTGAACTGTTCACTCATTTAAATGTTCTTGTTACATTTTAAATACCATAAATCATAAAAGTATGTTTTTATAAATTTGTCTATCAGCCCATCCATGTGTAACAGTGCAGGATCAGTTTTACATTGAGATACCATATTTCTCAATTCCAGCTGGTATAAACTGATGCGTGAACATTGCAGTACTATTTTTAACTTTGATCTCTACATTCCATGCATAACATCTATAGATCCTATTTAAACAAAGATACATAGTGACAGCAGAATAATATAACCCCAGCAGGGTGCACTTAGCCTTCCTCAGTTTCTCTAACTCTCCAATTGCCATGGTTATATTGCTCTCAAAAACCCTTTCCATTCCTTGTAAATACAAGTGACTATGCTAACATCTTCAAGACCATTTCAGGCACGGCTGAGTGACTCTCTCACATTCCATTACTCTCCTTGTCTGCGGAGATATACTTGCCTCAGGCTCCCTTGCACAATATAGCCCCCTGCTCGGCAAAAAAGTTGTTTTAACTCATCATGCGCTAGTCCCACAAACAATCCAGGGCTTTGAGTTGTTCAAGTAGTATGGACACTCATTCCATACTAAATAGACCTATCCATCTGCCCATGTACATGAGTATTCACAGAATTTCCCAATCAAGATGTCTCTGTTCTAGACTGTGAACTTATTCAGCAGTCAGTCTCTTAGTTTAGGTGAGTGAATGATCCTCATTTTACTCTTGGAAAACTTGAGGTCAAAACTCTGTTTCTTGCACCAAGTCCTGTTTATGTATACCCATTGTGGTTAGTGATCCACTTAGGCTTCCAGTCAAACAATGCCTCAGGTTTAAAACTTGCATCCTTGTTTTCAAGCCTCTTCAGGGCTTTGCCCCATGCTATCTTTCTGATTTGTTTTTAAATCTGCTCTTTTCTATTTCATGCCTTTTACGCACCCCCATTTTAATGCCCCACTCATTAGAGTTGTGCCTTCAGCCAAGTCCTAAGTGCTAGAATCCTGTCCCTAACTTTCTTTCATAGAGCCTAATGGCCTTATAACTTCTTGGATCAACCTTTTGACCATCTGCTTTAATACTACTTACGTGGCTCAGTGTCTAATTTTCCTTTATAATGCATCTGTGAAGCACCATGTGCCTTCTTCTTAAATTAAAGGAGTGATATGAATACAAGTTGCAGTTGCAGTTTTGCTCTGTCCTCTAGAATTTCAGAATCTGAAAGGGAAGAGAGTGATGAGCTGAACCATTTCGTGGCAAAGTGAATCATTTCGTGGCAAGGCAAAGCAGAAAGAGATGAGTGACCACCAAAAGCTGCACATTAGTTGAGGATGAAATTTCAGTGAGAAGGAAGAGATTTGTTTCAGATCCCTCTGGGAAGAAACCGTACTCCTGAAATGCACACTGCCTGCAATGTACATGATAGTCTGTTAGAGTGGACAGAATGTAAATGAATGTTTGGCCTCTTACTGTGGCTGCCTGATGTTCTATGCCAATTTTCCTTGCAAGAAAGAAGACAGTGAGTTAGTATCTGTCTGATGAAATGTTTTGAGGATGTGCATTTCAGGGTAGATTAATAGTGTGTGGCCATCCTGTGAGGCAGTGATGAAAGTGTTGATGAGAGTAGCAGATGCAGGGTAATGTAATAGCTGCAGAGTGAGGTAGAGTGAAGTGTGCTGCAATAATTGGAGGAGACTGGTAAGAAATAAGGAGGGGATGGTTGTGAGTGCTGAGGTTACACTTCTGCAGGCTGACACACAGTGCAGTGTGAGATATGAATTTAGTGTCATACCTTAAGTTGCTCTTGGAAGTAATTGAACTTTTTTCTGCACTGCATCCAGGTCCTTAGAACCGTGCTTCTGGTAATGGCCTGCTCTGACATTTTGACCTACTCTTGCCAGGAAGCTAACTGGGATTCTTCATCTAGACAGGGAGAAGGATGAGTTCGGAGGGTCACCGGACCCAAAACATTAACTCTGTTTTCTCCTTCACAGATGCTGCCAGATCTGCTGAGCTTTTCCAGCAACTTTGTTTTTGTTCCTGATTTGCAGCATCTGCAGTTCTTTCGGTTTTTATTTAAGAGCTGTAATATGCTGGCTGCTCACTTATTTCATGTCGTTTACACATGGGGGACGAGTTGAACATGGTTCCTGAATCCATATGCACAGGCCCACCAGTAGACCATATGAATTATTTGCCCCGTTTTCAACAATTTGTGAATTTAAGCTCTACTGCAGAACTAGCAAACAGAAGTAGACAGATTAATACGTTTCAGTTGAGACCAGAGACTGAAAGAATCTCTCCCCTGAGTTGTGGATCTTTGCTAAATACTCCTAGCAAAAGCAATAACACTTCTATTCAACAGATTCGTTGACGGACATCTAAATCTGTATCTGCTGAAGATTAATAGACAGAAAGACGTGTATAGAATTAGAAGATTACATGCTTTCCTAAATAAAACGAACACTGTCCTGTAAGAGCTATGGATATCCCAGCAGAATGATAGTGGCCTGTATCAAATTTCATGTATTTTGATATTGGATTAATAACTAAGAATTTTACCATATTACCTTAGGGTCCAAGAGAAATTTCACAGGTTTCCAATAGCTTTTGCATATTCTCAGTTACCTCCCTCAGGAAAATAAATAAGTGGTTTGGAATTCATGATATTGTAGATGAGGCTCAATTGTGGACTTGAAGGCCTTTGACCTTTTTCATTCCATATTTTTGTCTGTTCAAGGTAGCCAGTATCGCTTCAGACCATTTCCAATTTTCTTTGACTCTTGTGCCTTCTGAGAAAGAGCTATTTTACTTATTTACTTTATATTCTTCTCTCTAGCTAAAAAGAACAACAGCTGTTTTAAATTTCACACTGTTCAGAGGTCAGCGTTAGCATAACATAATCTAGGATGAAAGGCTTGGTGCCGTGTGTTGGATTGGAAGTCTCGGTGTGAATGCACTGGCAGCATTTTCGGACAGCTTGCAAGTGATTATTTTTGAGACTGTGCCCTTAGATCCGATCTAAAGCTTTGTTTATAGTATTTATTTTGTCTGTCCTAGAGTATTGCCAGTATGTTATATGTAAGCTGCAGAATTCAAAAGCTGTTTGTTCAGGCTGAATATCACTGCTGGCTGTGATTAGTTGATGAAGGACTGATGCAAGAGCAAAAATTAGAATTATTAGCATTCATAAAATGGACCTCAGAAAGATGCAACGTGGCATTAATTAAGAGTAAGTCAACATTCCTTCAAAACTAGAGGTCTGGTAAGGCTTGTGGTATCTTGAGATCTTGGCATCAAAGAAGTACCAAGTATAATAGATCGGCCTTCTGTTCTCTCACCTCTGAGAACATGTGTTTGATTCTAACCAAGAGAGACATGATGATAATCTCTCTTTTACAAAACAGGTTTGGTCAACCTCAATCCAATTTTGCATTTGTAGCTAAAGAATGAGTTTACATTTACATAGCACCTTTATCCTCAGTCCGTTAAAAACTTTACAGCTAATGAAGAACTTCTGAAGTACAGTCGCTGTTGGGTGTGACAGGAGAACCATCATCTCAAAGACTGCTCAAGTCAACTCGTGTCACCACCACTAATTGAGGCCAAATAGGGATGGGAAAGAATGTGGATTTACCAGCATCGTCTTCGACCCGGAAATGAATGATTGAAAAGAAATCCTAGTATGGGTTCAAAGAAAAACCTGTTAATCTTCAGCAGATACAGATTTAGGTGTCTGTCAATGTAGCACTTAGAAAAATCCACAGCAAGGTTTGAATGGAAAAAGAAAGTGAAAATCTACTACAATCTTCTGAATTTGCGGCTAAGACATTTTGTCATAGTATCATTTTAGAAGATTTATTTTAAAAGATGTAATGCTCAAGCCATACCAATACTGAAAATAACTTGAACTAAAACAAAAGCTCAATCTCTGACCTCCATTGTTCAAAAATCTAAACCGGAAACCAGCAAATTCTGGAAATCGGAAATAAAAGCAAAATGTACAGGAGGCTGTCTATTGTTTAAATAGGATACACTTCCAGTTGTGACACTTCATGCGAATCCAGTTAGAATTATTTACTATGATGTACAGCAAGAACATAAAAGAGACTTGGCACAATATTATCTGTAGTTTTGGTGATGGGGATTTCAGGTGAAGAGTTACGTCTTATTTTAAAAACATCAAATTGTTGTTATCTGTTTGTTACTCATTTCAAGTTAAAACAAAATGTAACAGCCCAAACTCCTTAACCCAAATCAAGCAAAAGAAAACATAGCTTCCTGATGCTGCCTTTTACTCAGCACAAAATAAACTCTTCTTTTAATCTAAAAATAGGCAAATTGAAGGAAAGGTGGTTGAAATCTCCAGGCTTCAAGAAATTTTTACTGACAAAGTGCTTCAACAGGTGAGTTAAGGTTCGCATTATATTGTAATATCAGACCAAACTGATTTATTCTGGACAACACAGTTAAATTCACTAAATTTGAATGCACTGATCAAATTTAATCAAACTTTTTCTTTCCAATCTATTAAGTAAAGTCCATTAGAACTAATTTAAATGTGCTCGGAGCCAAATAATACTTGCTTGTAAAACACCTTGTTGCTGTTCGTTATGTTTATTTGCCAGGCACTTGCTGTAATGTAATCAAACTGGGGAGTCTTCCCATTCAGTTTCGCACTCCACTTGGGAACAATGGCAATTGCGCCACCTAAACTTAAGATACAACAATGCATTTTACCAGGAATACAAAATAAAGACAACCAGTATTCTATTTAATAATAAGTTATGTAGTGATGTTTTTTAAATCAGATTTCTGAGTGATAGAGAGCTACTGTCAGGCATAAGTTGCTACTCTTGGTCTTTTTTCATCTAATGATCTATTTTTGGGGGGTACATTTATCCTGGTCCATTGCCATTTTTATAGATTTATCAACCTAACATTGATTAAAATTCACCTTTACTCTTCTTGTAGTTTAAAATGTTGGTACAATGAATTTTGCTATAAAATAACTGGAGCATTTTTCAGGATGCTTATATTGGATTTTGTTTTTCAATATTTTGCTCACTTCCCAGTTTTGTTGAATCCATACAAACAGCTAGATCTTGAATACCTTTCAAAATTTGCATTTTTATAAATAGAAACCCATGTGAAAATTGCATTTACAATGATTATGTAAGCAATATTTTGAAATAATAGGCATTTCATATCATTGAAAATAGATGACACCGCTGCGCCACCGCAGTTTTAATACCAGGTGCCTCATAATTAACTTTAGATTTGTCACATTCTTGTACATCGATGTGAAAGTTTGAATGTTGCTGGCTGCTGTAATATTGCATGTTAGTGAAATGGAAATTATTATCATCATGTGATATTTGTCATATAATAATTACAAATGGTGATTTCTTCTTTCTTCCTTGGTAGGAGAAAGAGATTGACAGCATTCATGAGCTTGTTGTGGGTACAACCGAGAATGTTAAAGAGGGGAATGAAGACATCAGAGAGGTAAAGACTATTGCTGGTTGACAAATGTTATTTTCGCAGCTGTCACTGTAACAAGAATGATTCATTTCTGGAAAATTGTTTCTAAAAACTGTCATCAATAATGTGTTATTGATATTTTTAATTAATTTGTAGTTGAGGTTCCACCAGCTGCCATGATGGGATTTGAACCCTTGTCCCTAGAACATTAGAGATAGTAGGAACTGCAGATGCTGGAGAATCTGAGACAACAAGGTGCAGGGCTGGATGAACACAGCAGGCCAAGCAGCATCACAGGAGCAGAAAGGCTAACGTTTCGGGCCTAGACCCTTTTCTGATGTTTCAGGTCGCGATCCTTCTTCAGAAAAATGCAGCATCGGCAGTTCTTACTAACACAGAAGTAGTGATATGGAAGGTTGCATCAACTGAACAGATGCAGTGGGGCTGGGAGAATGGAATGGAATCCTTACAGGATGTGCAGATCAAGAAAGTATAGTGGAAGTAGCTGTGAGAGTCAGTTAATGGGTGTTAGTTTATAGCCCTGAAATGGAGACAGAGAAGTCAAGGAAAGGGAGGAGTCAGAGAAAGATCAGGTGCAACTGAAGAAGGTAGAAATTGGAAGCAAACTTTCCAATTCAGGACAAGAGCCGGGCACAACACCAACATGAATGTACCGGAGAAAGAGTTGAGGGAAGGAGCCTGAGCAGGTCTGGGTCAAAGGATATTCCACATACCCCATCAAAATGCAGGTACGTTTAGGAAATGAATTAAAGGAGAAATTGTTCATTAGAGAACAAGTTCTGCCGGATGGATAAGGGGTAATACTTGATGGGAATAGGTTCAACGAAGAAGCGGAGAGCCCATCAGACCATTATGATGGAGGAGTGTATAGCGACTGGACGAGCAAATTGGAAACAATTTAAAGTGACAGGGTGCCTCAAGTGGAAGTAGGTAGGGAGAGACTGAAGGGGATAAAAGACATATTCAGGGAAGGAAGAAATCAATTCACTGGGGTGGGAACAGACTGAAATAATAGGTCCACCAAGGCAGACCAGTTTATGGATCTTGGGAAGGAGGTAGGGACAAGCTGTATGGGAGTGGGGAACTAAGAGGTGGTAAGCCATGGAGGAAAGATCACTGGAACAGCTAAGGTCAATGAATATTCTGGAAACAGTGTCTTAATGTTCACCGGCATGGTCATGGTCCAGGAGGTGGTAGAAGGAAGTGTCAGAGAGTTGGTGTTCCACCTTTACAAAGTAGAGATCAATTCACCAGATAACAACAGTACCCACATGGTAAGCAGGTCTAATATCCAAGTTAGACCTGAGAGAACAGAGTGGAAAAAGTTCAGAGAAAGGCCAGAGTGAGTGAAAAGAGCCGAAGAATTGAGAGTGGAAAGAACAGTGGGGTCAGAGAGGTACAGAGGGCATAGTACCCATGCGTTGTTAGAGCTTGTGATCCCTAACACCTAAAAGGAACTACAGGCTGAATCTTAGCAAAAATTGACTAAGTATCAATTTTGGAGTATTTCATAGAGGCTTACTGATTGTGAGGTCTAGTGAATTCCTTAACATAATTCTGTGCTATTCACCTTGCTACGTATGCATGTGCCTCTATGGTGCTGCTCTCGCACTATCTTTCACTTACCAGTGGCATCGGGACCTTCCGGGATGATAACACTGGCACCATGTACACAATCTAGCTGTGCAACAGGTCAAACACTGCCCGTGATGAATATTTCTTCACTGCACACGTATTGGAAAGGAAACAAAAATGATCAGCTTCTGAGGGCACATAGGTGGCACAGGTGATGCTTTGTTGCAAGTAGAATCTCGTATTTAGAAATGTAATACTAGTTTACATCGTCACCTGACTGTTTGACTGTCATAGTAACTGCAGCTACAAGAATCTTGCTACAGAAGCTACATGTCCTTAGCACCAAACCATGTTAGAACCTTGTTGGAAGAAGTGGTTCTCTTTCCCTAATGCCCAGCATAGTATAATATCTTGCCATTGTTCAACGTGGGAGCATCAGATGTTGTGAAACCTTCAAACAGTTGAGAATGTTAACCTTTATTAAACAGCAAAAGAGAATAAAGAACAAACAAAAACATTGCATTTGCTTCTGGAAGCAAACAGGGGATGCTTGGCATTTAAATAGCAACCAGTTCCCTATCAGTAAATAATCACTTCACCTAATTCCGATCCATTGGAACGGGCTGTCAGTTAGGTTCTGCCTGGCATGTAATGCCCAATGCAGTGCCACTTTATCATCACTTTTAAAGTGCTATTCCTCCTGCTCGTTGCCCTCATCTTCCTCCTCGGAAACAATTGTGCTCTCGCAGCTCTTCAGTGTTTATCACATCCTCTTCTTGCCTTCTCCAATATTGCAGGAGCACTGTGCCAGAATTACACAGCACACTCTGTCTGAAGTGTACTGCAAGGCCCCCCCAAGACTGATCCAACCACTGGAATCTCATCTTCAGCAGCCCTCTTAGCCGCTCCACCTTAATCCTGGTGAAAAATGTGCTCCATTATGTCCACCTTGAGCCTCAGTCAAGGGGTTGGCTAACAGTCATTAGCCATGGTTGCAGAGCGTAGCCCTCGACTCTCAGTAGCTATCCTTGTAAGGCATTTGGCTCTGAAATGAAACAGGAATATGAGAGCCATCAAGGATACATGGTATCATGGCAGCTTCTAGGCTATCTGGACTTCTAAGATGTGTATCGATGATCACAGATGAGATGTACATTGACTGAGTGGAACCTTTTTCTCTTGTTGAAGTCGGCCGTGTAATGAGATGGTGCCCTCAACAAGATGTGTGTACAGTCCACAGTGCCCTGCACCTGCAGGTAGTGAGCTATGTTGGTGAGTCTACTGCACAGGCTGCAAAACTGACCTCCTCAAGGAGAAGCTAGATGAAGCTGTGTCATCTGGCAATGCTTAATACTTGTGGATTAAGGATGAAGAGATCCACACAGATCCCCAGTGGATCCTTGGAAGCAGCCAGGGCATATAAGTCTGTCGCAGCTATCACCTTGTCACCTTGTCACTTTGCCCTCCACCTCTTCAAGTCACAAGTCCTGCTCTAGCAGATGACAGTTCTGTTCCAATGTACTGGGTCATCAGTCTGTAGTTCATCTGGAGGAAATGGCAACGCAGATGATAGAATCACAGCCTCCTGCAATACCTCCTCATCCTGAGAGGACTTTTTGCTGCAACTTCTTCATGGCGCTTCGACAAAGTAGATCTTCCCTGATGCATGCTATACAAGTTGCACCACACACAGTAGGAGATGTAGGTCCAGTAGAATTACCTAAGTCTTATACCCACTCACCCTCCCCCACATCACCCAAGAAAGGTAGCGTTTCATATAAGAGCATGTTGGCACATACTTACAGTTTAAAGGGGAAATCAGATCCACGCCATTGGAGACCTTCGATTATCTTGTGAATTGTGGACTACAGGCGACACTTTTAATGTTTCCTGTGATCACTTCTGATATCATTCATGGGATATGGGCATCGCTAGCTAGGCAGCATTTATTGCCCATCCCTAATTGCCTAGAGGGCAACCTCATTGCTGTGGGTCTGGAGTCACATGTAGGCCAGACCAGTTAAGGGTGGCAGTTTCCTTCCCTAAAGAACACTAGTGAACCAGATGGGTTCATGGTAATTGTTAGACTCTTAATTCCAGATTAATTTATAAAGACTAATGATATAGTCAAGATTGCTTGGGTGGCCAGGACTTGTATTCAATGTAGCTAGTCACTGCATTGTATTTCATATGCAGTCATATGATTGGAGACATCTTACGTTAGTACTGTGAATGCAATTGTGCATTGAAAGGCCCCACATTGCTCACAAGTAGAGCCCACTTCCTCAGACAGGAAAAAAGGACTTTGCGCAGTCTAGATTGGGTGGCAGCCACTTTTCATTTCTGTTGCAATTTGGATGAGGATGTAATGCTAAACGAGTAGTGCTTCACAGATTGTAAAAATAGCTGTCCATTCAATAGCAAGTGGTAAATTTCAGATTTTCAGTCACTATTAACCTCTGTTATTTAAGGATTGCTTTCATTAGGTGGCACTTTGAAGTTATAATTTGGCAGGTAAGTGCTTTGTTTCATTGAACATCAGATAAGCAATTGCCAGTGATATTCATGCTGCTGTTCACACAACTACTTAATCCGAGCCCCAGCTCAAGACTTTAATTCTTTCTTCATGATTTTTCTCAGATAATTTAAGCCTACTATCCATAAAGTATGTATTTGGACCTCAAATCTCCATGTGCTTTGTTTATCTTCTGTATATTGGAATTGCTGAGTTGTAACACCCTAATCACAAGTGTATTGTGAAGTAGAATGTAAGGCAATCTAATGGGGAAATTATTGACACAAGTGTCAACATTAACCTGCAATACCAGTTGTACATGCGGTCAAGTTTTCCACTGTATTTTTATTCATGAACCAGTTTAGACATATTAGGACACAGTTCCATGACCATCGCATCCATTGAGTTGGCCCAGACAGATGTTGTATCACAAACCACCCTCTGGCTTTTCAGTATTAGTTTTCACAATTTCAGGTGCTGCAACAATGAAGAATCAGTGTGCAATTGCAGGCTGTGGCCATGGAGTGTCACTGTTGAGCAGCCTTACTGAGCCGCAGCCTTATACAGGAACCATGTTAATACACATAAAGGGTTAAAAAAGAATTGAGGTGTCAAGATTAATTTTAAAAGCAATATAAAATACTTAGGCTCCGATAGTCCGCATGGAGTTCTTCCCCCTCAACATTTGTGGGCATCAGTCCCTGATGGAAACATCATTCAGACCTTGTTTGCTAAATGAACTAAGGATTATGCTGTTACTTGGCAGAAGGAAGAAAATCAGTAAAACTTGGAAATGACGGCAATGGTCCAAACTGGAATTTCATGTTAAGGTAAACAAGATGAGTTCAGACCAGTTCCATCATTTCCATGTTTTACTGGATTTTTGTTCCAAATCAGACTGCAAATCTGACTG